TAGTCATGAGATCCGCAGCAATCCATAGTTATGGATGATCGCTATGATACATCATGACACAACTTTCGTACCAATGGTAATATAAAGCAGGTGTTTGCTCGATCGTAGAGAGTAATTAGCCACTAAAAATTGATGTCAAACAAGCTGCATCTGCTATCTTGATCCTTCGAGATAACCTGCCTGTTTACACCAACAGGCTTGTTGATGAAACGACTAGTACGTCTGCTCGTCCACGAAGGTCTCGATGACCTCGGCAACCTTGCTATGCCCGTGTGCTCTGGCAACCTCTGCTGCCGTCCCGCTGGCCTTGAATGGGACCCTGACGTTTTTTGATGTGATACTCTTGTTGACCCCCAACTCTAACAACCACCTCACCACTTCCGTGTGGCCCCTTGCAGCTGCGTAGTGGAGCGCTGTGAAGTCCGCGGCTGCCCTTTTGGACGGCCCATACCCACAGCCGAGCAAGAAGCTGGCGCATGTGACATGCCCGCCATAGCAGGCCCATAGGAAGGCGTTGGTCTCTTGGGGCGTTTTGTAGAATTTCTGGGCGCCGCGGTCGAGCAGCAGGCGCATCATTGGCAACGAGCCCCCCCGAGCGGCAAACATGAGGGGTGAACCGCCATGTACAGTCTTCTCGTTGGGGTTTGCCCCGAGATCGAGCAACAGACGGGTCATTGGCAGATCGTCCGAGGTTATGCTGACGTGTAGCGGCGTACTCTTGTCGTTGGTCTTGGCGTTGATATCAGCGGACTTGGAAGCGAGCAGCCTTACAAAGTCCGGTCGCTTCTCCTTGACGGCAAGGTGAACCAGCGTTCTTCCTCTCTCGTCCGTCGGCGTCGGGCTGGCGCCGTGATCTATCAAGGCCCGCATGATGTCTATGTCCACCGTGCCCTTCTTGCCGTCCTTCCCCAGAGGGTGCCAGGCTAGTTTGAGCGGTGTTCGGCTTTTAAGGTCCAGCAGGCCCGGGTCAGCTCCTCTGTCCAGTAAGTAGTGAAAGACGGGGCTTGTTGAGTGTAGAACCGCGAGGTGCAACGGGCTGAACCCGTCGTTGTTCAGGCTCTTCCAACTAGCGCCCCGTAGCAGCAATGCCATGGCTGTTTCTATCCGTCCAGCTTTCAGAGCCGCATGTAGGGGAGTATCGCGGACGTTGTTCGAAACGTGAACATCAGCGCTGAGGGTGAGAAGTCTTTCGAGGATAGGCAAGGAGCCCTTGCGAGCGGCAATATGAACTGCGCGGTCTCCGCCCTCCAGGGCCACGTTGATGTCGCCATTTCGGGCCAACACGCTTTCAACACTGTCGAGCTGGCCGCCTTTGACGGCTTTCAGCAGATCCTCCGCGTAATCTGGATCAATCTCTCCGGGTATCATAGGAGTTGATGGTGGAATACTCCCCAACATCGATTTCACGTCCAGTGTCTGGCCCCTAATGTGATGTTAGATGAGTGGCACGTTGCAGACTCAAACTCGTCTCTCGAAAGCACTCACGCATTGTACAAGCCGACAAAAGAGTTCATCATTAATCTCTGGTTCCTGAGGCTCTCAAGTAAGTCCTTAAAATTTCCTTCATTGAGCACCCAAAAAAATCCAAGCCGCGTTTTTGCGATAATATTGTCGTCTGCGTTGACGCTGAGTTTTCTGAGCTTCTTCTCCAAGAGTTTCAGCGTCGATTTGATGCCCTCCATAGTATCCCTGAAACTCTTCATCAGCAAAGCTTTATTGCCATTCGCGCGATGCTGCATGTTCGGATCCTTGTCAATGAGCGCCTGTAAAGTTACGCAGAGCAGCTCGGTCAAGTTGCGCTCGTACTTGAGCTGGGTGACATCCTGCCCCGCATTGGCGAACGTCTCAAGCAAGCCCTTCGTGACCCTGCAGAGTTCAAATACCGAAGTGACTGTGCCTAAGATCTCCATGCTGATGAGAGACAAGAAGGTGTAGTTTGGCTGGTTGCCGAGATGGGGTCGACTTGGCGATGCGGTCGTGCCGGCGTTGATATATGGCGGCGCTCTCTTCCATCACCCCTCATTTTGCCTGCTGTACCGTGGCCAATGGAAGGTTGCATGTCCCAAGCTGACATGCGCGCGGCGGAGCGGCCATCAGAAATACGGGCTGTGCGATCCCATTTGTTGATCTTGGCTTGGGACAGCTTGAGTGGAACGTCACTCTCGGTGCTTACAAGACGCCTCTTATTGCTGTAGCTGGTTCGCCATTGCCGGACGACCCAGCGAGCGGGTATGGTAGCCGAATGGAGGCCGAGCACACAGGGAAGTCAAGCTGGTGCTGAGTTCCATTAACGTGTGAAGAAGCACAAAGTTGGAAAGACATCGCACACAGTGTTGTTGGAGACATAGAATGCGAATGTCGAAATGTGGAATGCCTCGGATGACGACGTTACATACTCTGGAGAAAGCAGACGGTATCCCTGCTTTCCATCAAGGTCGATCATCAGACCTCTTGCCCGAGCACAAAGTTCGCCAAGGATGGGAAATGCGAACGCTCATGATGGGATCAAGGGTAGAACTTTCCGTAGAGTTCAAATCACTGCTTGCTTGCTGGCGTCCAAACAAGGTGGCTGCAGCAGCGTCCTTCGCGAAGATACTAGCTCGCGTCCGTTCTTGCGACAGTACCGAAGTGCTGGGCAAGACACGTTCGATGCGGGATGGTCTCCGGAGCTCTCACGAAATTCAGGTACGTAAACCAGGGTTTATCAGGGCAGGGGCCGGCTGTCATTCGCTGAGCTGCCATCTGAACCGTTGGTCGGTGTCTGTGGGTGGTGCTCAGCACATGTGCAAGTACCGTCCCGCCGCGGGACGCGGCCAGTGAGTGTACGTGCGTGCCATGCATGGCTGAAGGCTGATGTGCCCGATGGAAAGGATGAAGAAGGGACAGAAACATGGAAACGGTGCCTCCCACTCGAAGAGTGCCAGGGGCCAAGACGCTAAGACATCCCGCAGTCATCTGCAGGCGTGCGCCGCCTCGAGATAACCTTAGCTTGGGGGTCTGGAGTCACTGATAGTAGTAGGTGATCCGATGGAGGTACTTTGTACTCTTTCTCTCAGTCTGTCTCTATCTTATGATGTGACGACGAGCTGCCAGGAACCGATGCCTTATCTATATATAATATTACTGACGTATCTGTTTTCCTCCTGCCCCCCGGTCCAAAGCTTGTGATCTTGCAGAATAAAATATCGAGCCGTCGCTCCAACTTTCTTTTTGGGGCAGGATTTCTTCATCTCAAGCATCGCAGACTCACCTGCCAAGACCAAGTACCCCCGAAAGACAACCATCACACCACATTTATCGCTCTGCAACAAACCCATTCACAATGACGGCCGAAGTATCCCACGGACGCGGCGGAGCTGGAAACATCAATCCCGACGACACCCAGTACGTCGATGGCGAAGTCGTGAGGACCGGTCCTGAGGGTTCCCAGGGCCACGGAGCCTACAGCGCAGGCAGAGGAGGTACATTGGACACCCGTTTTCTTATCAGCGTCCCCCCCAGCCCCCTGCGGCATCGGCGCGATGAGCTCACGAAGCCGACCCTCACCCCACCGCCTTTGTAATTGCGTCGCAAAGTCACGCTCTTGAGAAACGCCGCTCATCGACTGACTGTATGCAAATCACAGGTGCCGGCAACATTGGCGACGCAGGCTCTGCGCCCGCCCCGCGCTCCGACAAGGACCTCGTCCCCGAGGAGGCCTACCGCCCCTCGACCGAGAACCAGGACTACCACGGCGGCCGCGGCGGCGCTGGCAACGCGCACAAGTCGATCGACCACGAGAAGAAGGCCGCCGCCCAGGCCCGCGCCGACGGCACTGCCGGCGTCAGCGTCGCCGACAAGCTCAAGGCCAAGATCCTCGCTCCTTTCCACAAGAAGTAAAATTTCATGGCATGGCGTGAGCGGGTGCAGATTGAAAATGATGCGAAAAGAATGCATGGCTGAAGGAATGATGTGGATGTTTAATGTGGTGGCGGGATGCCTGGATTGGCACCAGACTGTTGTCGTGTGCTGTGCGTTTAGTGGCTTTTGGTTGGAAGTTGTTAACATACCCTTCAAGATATCCCCATTTTCATAGATATGCTTCCTCTTGAGAACTTTGAATGACATCCTGCCGCTGGCTCAATTTACCGCGGCATCAAATTTCTCAATTGCGGGCTTTTGTAATGAGTCAATCAGCAGAATCCGGGTCAATGTCACAATTTCTGTTGCAAAAGTCATGTTCAACATCAGCAACTGAAACAGTGACCAAGAAAGCGCATACAAGTTGTGCCTCTAGATCTAATCAGCACATCTCCTTAATATCGCAAACTCCTCCCTCCCCCCCTTCTTCTTCAATTGGATGAACCGAGTACGACAGGGCAAACATAGGAGGAATGATAAAAGTCATAGAGGCGATGACGACGACGAAGATCAAGACAATAACAACGACGACGACGACGAAGACGATGAAGACGACGACGATAAAGAAAACGACAGTAATATGTAGTAAACATCCTCAAGGAATAGTCGCTCTAGCGCAGGGGAAATATAGGACCTCTCCTGGTTTACCCAGTCTTCTTTCTTGCTCTCTTTGACCCGGATAAAAAAACACTATCCAAATACACTTTGTTTGTATTGGGTGTTCGGGAAGAGAAAAACACACGTCAAGATACCAGCAGCTGTATTAGCCTCGTCTCACAAGGTCACCGAGAACAGCCACAAAAGTTCAATACACGCAACGTAGAAATCCATAAGTAATTTTGTGCACAGGAAATGTAGCTGCGCAAATAGAGGAATCAGGCAGGCTCAATCAAAAACACAACTGTGCTCGGAGAGTCGCGGTACCTGGCGCATATCAGACTTGACACTCTGCAGGGATATGCTTTGAACGAAAGAAGATATCGATAAAAGCAGTATCAGACGAACTCACTCTATGTGTGCCTTGTATGTGCTCTCGGTTAAGTTAACACCGCACAACATGACACACGCACAACGCAAGAAAAAGACAAAACAAAAGATATCGACGAAGACAAGACTCGAACTTGCGCGGCCGAAGCCATGTGATTGCGAATCCTTTAATTCGAGTCACACCCATTGACCACTCTGGCACTTCGCCATGTTTTTGATCCATCTTATTGTGGAATAATACCCTAGGGGTGGGTGGAATGTGGTGTTGTGCCATCCTTCGTATTCGTGTGTCGGCGGCGCGATTTGACGTCCCCACGTATCTCGTTGTAACAAGCCGGATCTCAAACACGTTATTTCAATAGAAAAAGAGAGCTTTCTAATTCATATAAGAACCGCCATATGTTGCAATGTTCATTATTCGTTCAACTTTTGGATTTCCCGCGTGTATCCTGCAAATGCTGCACTGAGAGTTCCGATGATATCCGGGATGTGGAGAACATCGGCGCCGACGATATGGTCCGTGCATACCGATCCTGTCCCGCAGAGACGATTGATGACGTAATCCGGTCATGCTTAGCAGAACATGAAAGTCTTTGGAGCGAGAGAATCGGACTTTGTCGGCGTCGTTGAAACCGTCAAGCTTGCAACTTCACGAGCGAACTAGAGTTTAGTCGATCCAACAGACCGGAAACTGTTGTCTTGGCACATGACCAGCGCTCGTTATGTCGGCTTTGTCTCTGCGACAACATTATTGAACGGAGAAATGGAAGCTTCTGAGTTCAGACCCAACGTCGGCCCGTTTCATCTCATTGCGGAGAGGCACCAGGGTATTTCTGGGTCCTGACGACGACAGACCCTTCCCCGGGTAACTTTAAAAGTTGAGGCGGTGAAGTCCGGAAAGTGGTCCCATCTTTGGCTTTGGGCGGACATGGAATTGTACAAGAAGGTCATGGCACAAATAAGCAGTATTTCGGAACTGACTGTAGTGTGACAGGCAGAACCATGTTCAAGCTGCGAGGATAGTTTTCTTGGTTTGCGCGCGGTTTGCGCTAAGTGGTCTTAACGCCAACCAGCTCGCATGCCGGTGATCGTCCTTCAGGGTCCAACGGGAGTTGAAGTGTGGTGGGCAGCGAAGTCAAGAGGGCGCGCAGATCGCGAAGGCACTTGCAGAATGTCCACCCCCGCAGGCCCCAGTACGGTTCGGATCGTCACGAAACTTTGCCGCAGTGTTGCCAGAGCCTAGAGGGCAGGATGCAAGGCAGAGTTTGGATCGCAGGGTTTCCGATGTAGTGAAATATGGCACTGTGGGCATACCAACATCAGAAAATGCTAGAACAACAGCAAAGTCATACTGAGTCAGATAACTGTAGGTAGAGGTCCATCTCAATCAGCAGCGAAGCTAGCCCGTCCCAAGGCGGCAGCGGCTCTTTGCCAAGAGACGACCACTTGATCAGTTGCGATTTCGCCGCTCCTTGGCCATGCCAGAACAGGTTATTCCCATTGTGTAGGTATTCTTGTTCATCATGAGAGAGTTTTCGATGCCTTCACAGCGGGTAATCTACTATCTGATGCGTAGATACAACGAAAGATTTGCGGGATGAGAGAAAACGCTGTGCGAGGGGAGATAAAAGTTTGGCCAATGTTCATCAGTTCGCCCTCTTGCGGTGAGGGTGGTGTCAATGGCAAAGTGCTAAACCAGGGTTGAGATGGATGGGAAAGTGTGGTGCAGGTAGATGCAGGCGAGCGGCGGCCAATGCCCAATCCAAAATCGAGTGCAACGCATATCCATCGACGCACGCTGAGCTTGGAATATCGGACGAATGAGGCCCCCGGTTCGTCTCACGATGGCTGTCGGCACCGCGCACCTTCTGACGATGACTGGAGCTCATTGCCTCATAGCGCCGCATGCTTGAAGCGTGGCAGCGGCGCTAGGAACATGAAGGACACCGTTCATCGGCGATGATGCATTGGAAAGCAACAATATCTGCGGTCGCACGTCTAGGAGATTGGGCAAAGGCGTTTTCAATGCGACCAGGGGGCAGCTAGGTTCGGGGAAGGACGGCGTGATGGGAGGAAGGTAGAAAGGCGATGAATGGGATGGACAGTACGAGTAAAGTAGAGACGGTTGTGGAGGTGGAAGGAAAGAGGTGGTGGTGGCCTTGGCTCAAGCTTACTGCAGCACCTAGTTGGCTTGGGCTAATAACTTGCAACAGTGCAAGCGTATTCGTACGGCAGGCCTGGAAAGACGGAGAAGGCATGGAGAAGTCTGGTCGTCCACTCCGGGGAAGACCATGGATTGACATTGACGTTGTCACCTTGGAGCTGGCCTTTGCCTCACGCGGTGTGGTTCCTTCCTTTGGCCGCCATATAACCAACCGCGCCGGCCCACAGTCGGGTCTCTTCAACCTGCCCGACGACTCCTTGACCTACTTTTCCTCCGACCTTCTCTTTTTTTTTTTTTGCTTCTGCTTTTTCCCTCCTTCTTGCAGGATTTGATCCAGATAACCATTGTCGCAGTCGCGGTGGCCTCATGTTGCTGTCCGCAAGGAACTCATTGCGTCGTCGTCACCCGCACCTTCGGTCTGTCACCTAACAGTCACCTGTCAGCTTCGTTGCACGATTCCCCAAGTCAACACCCTCCCATCTCCGGTTTTCCTCGAGACCAGTCCAGTCCACATGCCCTTTTCGGCAGGCTTCCTTTGCGAGACACCCCACTGAAGGCAAAGACAACGACAACATCCGACCTGCCGCCCGTCCTCGACTTCTATTGGAACATCTTCAGCAACACTCCTCCCCCCGACGGCAGCCTCCAGTCAGAACTTGGCCGGTGAGGTGCCGTGCAGCTACAGGAAATACGCCGAGTGGTCCGCCCGCAGCAGCGAAGGCGCCCCCCTCGACACCTTTCAGCAGGACAGCAGTCCATCGGTCAGGCTCAAAGTGGTGGTGCCTAGCACTGTTGCGACGCCCCCAGTGCTAGGTACCTAGTCGAACCTGCATTCGCCAACCCCAACCCCCAATCTGTTCGCATTGCTCGCCGTGCATTCCGCTGTCTGCCCACCTTGGCAAGGTACCTGGAGCGGAAACCTGGAGATTTGGCTGTTCCTGGTTGCCTCTGCAGCCTAAACTCGGACGGAAATTCAGCCCTGGAGGTTGCGTGCTGCGACCGGAGTGAGACAGCCCGCCAAGTCAGCTGCTCCATCCAGTAAAGTTAAGCCTAGCCGCCCGTGTCAGTGCTGTGCTGTGCTGCTTGATTGCTTGTCACCCATGGCTCCCAGGCATGAGGAACACGCTCGCCCGCCGCCTGCACCAAGGTTATGGTCGCGTCTCTCGACCTTGTCCAAACGCTCCTTTCGCTCCTTCACCTCCGACTTTGAGGCTGACGACGAACGTTCCGACAGCGACTCAGACTACGACAGGATGAGTCCTGGAAGCAGCAGTGATGGCTTCTTCCACGGCCAAGGCCGATATCAGGGTGAAGATACCCGTCCCACCAGCCAGAAGGAGCTAAACGGCTGGTACGCCTACGCCTTTGCTGCCGAAACCTATGTTATTTGTGGTAAGCAATAGCTATCTTCCCCGCCTTGCATCTGACCATGTTCACGAACTGACATTTCTCAGCCATCGGTATGTTCAAACAGCTCGTGATAACACTGTCGCTTCCCCGACGGAAGACACGGAAACATGTCTACATCAATGCGCCCGTCCAACACCTGACTCTGACATTGCTGGTGCTGACAAGACCTGATCCACAGGCTCATTCATCCCGATTCTCCTCGAGACACTCGCTCGCGAAAATGGCGTCCTATTGTCGGACCGAACGACCCCTTGTGGCACGAGCGATTCCAAGAACAAGGCCGATGGACAATGTATCGTCTATGTGCTCGGGATGGAAATCAACACCGCGAGCTTCGCAATGTACACCTTCTCAATCAGCGTCTTGATCCAGGCTCTCCTGGTCGTGAGTATCAGCAGCGCTGCCGACCATGGCGACTCGAGGAAGAAGCTCTTGCTCACCTTCGCGTGGGTCGGTAGCTTCTCAGTTATGGCTTACATCTTCGTCAACAAGAGCACATACGTACTCGGCGCATTGCTGGCTATCATTTCAAACGCATCTTTTGGCGCATCATTCGTACTTCTGAACTCGTTCCTCCCTCTTCTCGTGCGATACCATCCCGAGGTTTTGGCGTCCACGACGGTGCACACACCAGATCTCGGTAACTCGGACATGGAGTCGCAGCCTTTAAATGGCACTCCCATCGATGAAGATTCGGCTGTTGGCGATGTAGAAGACTCCACCACCGCATTGCTTGGAGAGAATGCTCATCATGGTCATCCTCTAGTCAGGAAAGCTACTCATGAGGAAATCACCTCGGTGGAGCTTCACCTTTCAACCCAGATATCTTCCAAGGGCATCGGAACTGGTTATATCGCCGGATTGTTTGTGCAATGCGTCGCTATTGTCATTTTGATTGCGATGCAGAACTCGACGTGGTCGCAAAGGGTTGTGCTTTTTGTTGTTGGTGCCTGGTGGTATGTAACAACTCGTCTCTGTCGTCTTTATCGTCCCCATTGTTGGCCCTGATCATATGTTGTGTATAACCTGAGCTGACTTTCAACGAACAGGACAATCTTTACTATTCCGGCCGCCATGTGGCTGCGCCCGAGACCGGGCCCACCAATGCCCATCGACTCCGGCTCGGGTAAGGGCGCTCGGGCTTGGTTGAGCTACACCAAGAACGCCTGGAGCTCTCTCTTCAGGACAGTTCAGCTTGCTCGACGCCTCAGGGACATCATGCTGTTCATCGTTGCCTGGTTCTTCCTCTCAGATGCCGTGGCAACGACGTCGTCCACAGCGATTCTCTTCGCCAAGACCCAGCTTCACATGAAGCCTTGGGCATTGGGGATGATCAATGTTATATCCACTACGTTCGGGGTCATCGGAGCATTTAGTTGGGCCTTCATCTCGCGCAAGCTCAATCTCAAGCCCCACCAGACGATTTTGGTCTGCATCGGCCTCTTCGAGCTCATTCCGATTTACGGACTTCTCGGCTACATTCCGTTTGTGCGGAACTGGGGCGTGGGCGGACTGCAACAGCCTTGGGAGATGTATCCCTTGGCCGCGGTGTATGGGCTTGTGCTAGCAGGCGTGTCGAGCTTTTGCAGATCAGTCTACGGCGAGCTTATTCCTCCCGGTTCCGAAGCGGCTTT